AGAAAAGACTGAGCCAGGGATGGTAGTGTACACCTTTAATTTCAGCACTCTGGAGGCAGAGGCAGGAAGAGCTCTGTGAGCTCAAGGCTAGCATCGTGAGTTCCAAGACAACTAGAGCCATATAGAGAGGTAATGTTTAAAAAAAAAAAAAACGAAGGAAGGAAGGAAGGAAGAAAAGAAGGAAGGAAGGAAGGAAGGAAGAAAGAAAGAAAGAAAGAAAGAAAGAAAGAAAGAAAGAAAGAAAGAAAGGTAGGCCTGAGCTTCAGTTTTGATGCCTGTTCTTACAGCTGTGGGCTTCCATTCCACACAAATGCTGTGTGGATTTTTCTGTTAAGTATGTCTTCTGCCTTTTTTTGCTTTGCCATGTTGCACCTTTCTTCAGTCACCCCATGCAAGGGAAGCTTCTGAAGTAGCCTTATGTAAGATGTATTCTATCTTTATGCTTAAATTTCCATAGTTGGGTTAGATAACTCTTTTCCTCTATGTTCTGTTTTAAATATTTCCAGACTTGAAGAGGTTTCCATTCAGGCTGTGACAGGTGCAGATAGTATGGTGGCTTGTTTACAATTGTAATGAAATTCTAAATACTACAACACAGTTCTGCCCCTTTCTCTGAAGCTTAGGCAAATTCTCCCTTATGCTCTTGACTCTGGCATAGGCTTTGAATTACAGCTTATAGATTGACTGAGTTTATATGTCTGTTTTACATATCTGGTGAGTTTACGCAATGCTTGTATTTGTCCTGAGCAAAAAAAGTCTTGAAGAAAGGGCAGTTCATTTAGAGTGTCTGATAAACCTTCCAGAACATGCTAGAGAGAGACCCCAGGAGGGCAATATTGTCAGGCCCCTGGATATAAATTAAACAAGATGACTGTGGCTAGACAGAGGTTGCTCAGAGGTAAAGAGTGCTTGCTGGTCTTGCAGAGGACCTGAGTTCAGTCCCAGCATGAATGTCTGGTAGCTCACCACTTCAGCTCCAAGTGACCTAATACCCTCTTCTAGACTCTGAGGGCACCGGAGTGAACACACACACACACACACACACACACACACACACACACTCATGCACGCATGCACACACGCACGAATGCACGCACACACACGTGTGTAAAATAAATCTTTAAAGCAAAAACAAGCAGGTTAATTGTCGACCCTGCAGGTTAATTGCACAACATGGTGGTGTTGGACAGTGATGCATGCTGACATGTGGTCTACAGACGGTCTAATAGGAGACTTAACGGCAGACTGCTAGCTGAAGCTCCAGGTACTTGAAGCAAACACCTCAGCATGATGACATGGACATCCTTGTTTGCAAATTCCAGAATAGCAAGACATGGCCAAGCAGCAAGAGCCCAAGGGACCAGCAAGAACCCAGAGAACCAGCAGTTCCTGAACAAAAGCATGAGCAGGCAGGTGCCTGGAGCTTTTTGGTAGGGAGATGTTATGGCTGTTGTTGGATCTTTTGTCCTAGGCGTTAAGAGGAAGCCTGCAGTTCCAAACTGTTCCTGGAACAGAGGAGATCATAATTATCTCTGAACTCAAGGGTGGTCGGTCTTGGGGTGGGAGGCCATTCAGTGGGGTAGTGGGCATCTGAAGAATGTGGGTGCTCAGGCAAATTGGCTCTCAGAATCAGGTTTCTAGGGTGACCCTGACTTGATTGGCTGGCTCCTGAGGGAGGGCTCAGGGAACGGCATTGTCCTTGATCATCAGAAAAGAGGTTTAGACAACAGGCAGCCTCCCTGTTACCATAGCGACAGAACAATGAGTCTGCCCCTGAGTTGGAACATTTTTATCATCCCCGAGGCTTCTTCTAATCTGTAAATCTGTCTGTTGGGTATTCTGGCAGGACCAGGTGACCTGTTGCAGCTGAGAGTCTCTGGCCACTAACTTCAGTACCACAAAGCACGGTACTATTAATTGGCAGTGGAGAGAACATGCTAGATTTGCAGTAAAACTGTAAACAGTTATTTAGCATATCAACATCTAAAAAAAAAAAAAAAAAACAAGAGCTTCAGCAAGGGGGGGCTATCCCCAGATAACTCAGTTATTAAAAGAGAAAAGGCAGGCAGGCTGTGGTGGTACACGCCTTTAATCCCAGCAGCCAGGAGGCAGAGAAGCAGGAGTTTGAGGCCAGCCTGGTCTACAGAGCAAGTTCCAGAGAAGTCAAGGCTACATAGAGAAACCCTGTCTTGAAAAAAAAGAAAAGAAAGAAAAAAGAAGAAAGGAAGGAAGAAAGGAAGGAAGGAAGGAAGGAAGGAAGGAAGGAAGGAAGGAAGGAAAGGAAGAAAAAAGGCTGGTAAAGCTGGAAAGTTTCAGTGAACCTGCAATTGTGAAACACCTGTTGTAAATGTATGTGAGGTGACAGAGACGATCTGGCTTGGTCTGCTTGGTCACACTGTGTTAGCCTTACACTCTCTTTCTGAGATCTGCTAAGGAGCTCTTATCCTCTTACAGCAGTCAGTATAGGTTACTCTGCAGACACATTCAAGTGCTTCATTGTAGCTGTTGATCAGCTCAGAGCCAAGTCAGAGTGAGCACACAAGCCTGAAAACAAGAGTAAGTGGAAACTTTCCAAACAGCCAGGATCTCCTAACAGTGGCCGCTATAGGTGTGTGTGTGTGTGTGTGTGTGTCAAAGCACCAAAGCATGGCCTGGAGAAGGAGCCATATTTCCTATGGAAGTGTGTTAGTTGACACAACCTGGAGTGTCACTGGGAGGAGGGAACCTCAACTGAGAAACTGCCCGGATCAGATTGGTCTGTGGCCATGTCTCTGAGGGATTGTCTTGACTGATGACTGATGTGGGAGGGCCCAGCCCACTGTGGGCGGTGCCATGCCTAGGCAGGTGCGCATGGGCTTTATGAGAAAGCTAGAGGGGCACGAGGCTGTGAGTCAGCCGTCAGCACCCTCCGAAGCCTCTGCTTCAGCTCCTGCTTCGATCCTTGCCCTGACTGCCCTCACTGATGAAGGGTGACCTGGAAGTGTAAGCTCCCCTAGATGCTTTTGGTCAAGGCATTTATCACAGCAACATAAGAAAAAACAGGACAATGGGGGAAATGCTTTTCTGAGGAGTATAGAGCCCTATGGCGAAACTGAAGAATTCTTGATGCAGAAACGCGTCCCAGTGTCCCCACATCTACGGCACCCCTACGCCTTCCGTAGTCCCAGTATTGCTACTACCCTCATGTTGCCATCATCCCCATTGCCAATGCCCAATTTGGCCCAAGAAAAAAATGCTGGGAATGATACAGACTTCCTGGGGAAGGAAGCATTGGAGGTGAGTGAACTCAGGTCACCAGGCTTGGTGGCACCTTCGCCCACTGAGCCACCTCACCTGCCCATTGGGAATCTCATGCCAGAAGAAAAGTTCTAGAACATTCTAACATTTTAGAGCAGACTCACACAAAAACCTTCCAGAAATCTGGTCCTAAGTGTAACCCTGACTTCCTAGGGTTTGGCTAATGATGGAGTAAAGAGAATGTTCCTTTGGTAGATGCTATGCTTCCCTTTTGAGTTTTGATTTTTCTCCTTAGCCTACCTATATGCAGTGGGTCCTCTCTGATTCTGGGCAGCAGCAGCAAGCCACAGCCGGTCAGCCCCTAGATATGACAAAGAAAAACCAATAACCTCCACAGGGTGCCATGTAGCCAGATGGGTGGGGGGTACCTGGTGTGAAGTGAATTTTTGATCTTCACTGTTCTGTTTATAATGAGCTTATCAGGATATGATATTAATCAATTCTCTTACTGCTGTGATAAAATACTAGACAGAGGCAACTTAAAGGGTCAAGGGTTTACTTTGGATCATAGATTGGGGTGCAACCTATCCGGGCAGGGAAGTCATGGTGGCAGGAGCCTGGGGTTCACATTGTATGTGCAGCTGAATGCTGGTGCTCTACTCACTTTTATTCAGTCAGGGACCCCAGACAGTGGACAGTGCCACCAACATGTGGGCTGTGTCTTCCCAACCTAGAAACTTTCTCACAGCCAGGCCCAAAGTGAGCCTCCTGGGTGACTCTAGATCTAGTTAACAGTCAGTAATTTACCACCACAGAACGTGCCTTTGCCGCCAACTCCACGTTCCTTTGTGTTAGTTTCCTTTATTTTGCTGTGATAAAACACTCTGGCCGAAAGCAATTTGGGAGAGGAAAGTGTTTATTTTAGCCCATAATGCTAGACCACATCCCATCGCTGAGGGAAGGCAGGCAGGCCTGCTTGCTATTCCACTCAGTATCACCTCTAAGGAACTCTGCCTGAGAAGCAGAGCAGGAACATGGAAGAGGCTTCTGGCTGGCTGGCTCGTGAGAACTTAAACCAGTTGTTCTTAGCCTTCCTAGTGCTGCCACCCTTTAATAGAGTTCCTCGTGACCCTCAGCCACAAAATTATTTTGTTGCTACTTCATAAGTGTAATTTTGCTATTGTAAATTGTAATGCAAATCCTTTTTTTTTTTTTTTTTGTAGAGAGAGGTTTGCCAAAGGGATCACGACCTACAGGTTGAGAGCACTGGCTCTAACACAACTACTTTTCTTATACAATTCAGGATGACTTGCCTAGTACCCACTATTGACTTGCCCATAGTGGGCTGGACAAACGCACGCGCACGCACACACACACACACACTGCCCACAGGCCAATCTGACTAGGCAATTCCTCAATGAAGGCTCTCCATCCGATGATTCTGCCCTCCACCAAGCTGACAGCTAAAGCTCAGCATGACATCCCACGCTCTGTTTATCTTTGTTGCCGCTTTAGCCGAGCAGATTGCCACAGGTCCACAATTACACCGAACTCCGTGTTGTAGCCTCCTCTCTTTTTTACAATGTGGAACCCTGGCCCTGTCATCACACTGCTATACCCTCTAGTTTTGGGGGTCACCCACCTGAGCCCCAACACTTCCTTTGGAGTGGCTTGTAGGGCTCAGGCTCATCCATGTCTGGGTTCAGCCCAGCCACTACCACCTGGCAGCTGTTTCTAACAAAGTGTCTGCTTGTACCTGGCAGGTGAAGGACGCTACCCAACAGCCCCAGATGGTGTTCACAGTCCGCCATGCCACCGTTACCTTCCAGACAGAAGGGGACACATGGAGAGAGCAGAAGGAGCAGAGGGCAGCCCTCATGGTGGGCATCCTCATCGGGGTGTTTGTGCTCTGCTGGTTTCCTTTCTTCGTCACGGAGCTCATCAGTCCGCTGTGCTCCTGGGACATCCCTGCCATCTGGAAGAGCATCTTCCTGTGGTTGGGCTATTCCAACTCCTTCTTCAACCCACTCATCTACACAGCATTCAACAGGAGCTACAGCAGTGCTTTCAAGGTCTTCTTCTCCAAGCAACAGTGAGAGGCCGTGTGGGCGTGCCTTCTTCCCGTGAACCTTTGCACTCTGCCCAGCAGTCCTGAGGACAAGATCCATCTGCCAAGGGCACCAGGGTCACAGCAGAGCTCGGCTCCCTTCCCTTCTGTGCTCGTGTGTTGGGAGCTGTCTTTTCCTGAGGGCTCTGGTGGCTTATGTCCCCAGCTTGGGTACTCTTCCTCACTCTGTACCAGCAGCCACGGGCCTGGCCCACAAAGTGCCCATTTCTCTTCTAAATCCGCTCCAGCATGGACGTGAGAAAAGTTGACCAGGACAGGAGGGAAGAAGGAGGAAGTAAAAAAACTCAGGTATGTAGAGAGGCAGGAAGAATGATAAGGCCTACAGCTGTTGATGGTCACACACACAGCTGTAATCCTAGCCCTAAGGAGACTAAGGGCGGGAGGATCTCAGCCAGCCTGGGCTACATAGTAGGTTCAAAACCAGCCTGAGGTAAGAGACAACATATAATAACAACAACACATCGCTCTGGTGAGGCCGAACTCCCCAGACTTGTCCTCATTTCAGAGTTCTGCTCTGTGGCCCGAGAGTGTCCGTCCTAATACTGACTGAGTCCCTTCCTAATAGTTGGCTACAAAATTCTGTCCACAAACATGTCAAAACACAGTCCCAACTGCGGCAAGGACAGTGATTCCTATCTTGAGTGTTTTTTGTTCACCGCAGGAAAAAAAAAAATCAGTTTCCGGTTGAGATCAGCTCAGCCCATCAACTTGAAACTGGAAAAACCATTTCCTTCCATTTTGAAACAACTGTTCACAAACAATAGAAAAAAAAATCTACTAATTTTTCAGAAGTATTTGCTGTAGGTTTTTCTTGGTGTGATTCCTTCAAATGTTTTTGCCCTTAGTGTTTTTTCCCTAAAAAGTAAGATTCGAGGTTAGTCATGGCCATGAGCTGTTGCCTTCTTAATACAGTTTCACAGTTGGTGGCTACAAGGGCCTGTCCATCAGACCAATACAGTAGCAGGAATACTGGCCATTTTGCAGTTCTGGCTTTGTTGGTGAATGAACCCCAACCAGATAGGCAGACAAGGGTCAAATGGGGCCTCTATCTGGCAGTGAGACCAGTGTGTCAAGACAGTCCCAAGGAAACAGTGTTTATGTGGTGACAGAAAACCTTGGGCCCACTCCCACCTCCAAAGGGAGCTCAAGGGAACTTTGAGAATATTATAAAAAATCCAAGGAGAGACAAAAGAGCTAGTCACCTTTCCAGAACCCTGTGTATGCTGACTGCTTCCACGAGCCGAGGATGGAGCTATCGGAACCCACAGAGCTGTGCACACCTCTCAGTACGTCGTTCTCAGCAAAATCCAGAATGAGCCAAAGCACCCATACTTCTTTCGGCAGTGAGAAACAGTGGGTTGCCTTGGCAGCCATGCTGAGGCCGTTTGCTGCAGAATCCTCATCTGGGGAGCGGAGCCCCAGAGCTAGCCAGGTGATGATGCAGAGAGTCAGAGAGACTGTCTGTGGAGAGTGGGTGTGTTTCTCCAGTCGACAGGAAGTGCAACAACTTCATCCTCAGAAGTCTTCAAATGTTTATTTGTTCAGTTATTTAGGTTTGAGACAGGGCCTCACTAAGTAGCCTTGGCCATCCTGGAGCCCACTGTGTAGACCAGGCTGATCTCACAGAGATCTACCACTCCTACACCGGGAGTTTTCTAAGTAAAAATTCTCCAACACTCTGAGGCCCTTTGTCTGGAGCAGTGGCCTGGACCAGACACACATTCTGCACTAGGGGACTGGGTCTGGACAGAATGGCTCACATGACCATGGTTGTCATAACAAGGTTTTGCTAATTGTTTCAACAAGAGCTTTATTATTATTATTATTATTATTATTAATTTTTTATTTTTATTTTTGGCCTTGGTCACAACTGACCAGATATAAGAATTTATTTTTGTTGCATCTGAGCCCTGTGAAAATAGGATGCACACAGAATGTTTTAAGTTGTGCAAACTGTGTACTGCATCCTTCACTGCTGTTGCTCAGCCAGGAGGTCTCCTTGGGATGAGCCTTTAGATCCAGGGGACCGAGGAGTGTGTTAGTCCCTCTCCGCTCCTCTGCAGCTGCACCGGTAAAGGGAGCTAGCCACTACTGATTGCCCACCCAGCTGCAGGCCGAGCACTCGTGGCAGGGACCTTCCCACCTGATGGGTTCTGACTGCCACCACGCTCACCATCACATGGGGCGGCTTCGCCCATATCACCTCAATTTGAAACAAACCCCTTACTCACCATTCAAAACATCTACAAGTTCTTGGGCAATAAAACTTCACTCTATCCCTTAATTCCTCAAATGCACAAAATGAAACTGTGTATCATAACATGAAGGCACAGAAATATTATACTGTATATAATAAAGTACATCCACCAACATTCAAAAATAGAAGATTTGTGATGATTTCTTTGTGGTTTTGACATAAGTGATCTTGAATTTCCTGCAAGGACAACCTTTCTTTACACAAGAGTGTGACCCAGTGCTAGGTGTTAGCCAGCCAGCGTCGTGACCGTGCACATACTTAATCTGGACTCCTGTCTGCACGAAAGCAATGCAATAGAGAACTTTACTTGGGAATTTTTTTAGATTTTTTTTCTTGCTTCTGTATATATCTTAGTTCACATACTAGGTTCATAAATACTTCAAAATGCAGACTTGTTTACTTCCTCATTTTCCCTGTCCCCAAGATCACCCGGAACCAGGGGTATTACTGGGGTTTTCAGTGTTATAATGGAGGATGTATTTGTTGGATGAGCACAAGTGAAGGAATACAACATGTGGAACCCAGTGCAAATTGTACCATGTCTGTCTGCCTGAAATTCCTGGTGGGATTTCTCATCCTGTGCCAAATTCCAATATTTATCTTACTGTTTATTTGGGGGCTGGAGGGATGGCTCAGTAGTTAAGAGTGCACGCACACTGCTCTTGCAGAGGACCTGAATTCCATCCCCAGCACCTGCATCAGCTGGCTCAGAGCCACTTGTAACTCCATCTCTATGGGATCTGATACCTCTGGCCTGAGCAGGTACCTTTATGAATGCACACATGTTCAAAACTACACAGCTGTACAATTTTAAAAATAATAAAAAAATTAAAAATTTAAAAATAAATATAATGATTTTTTAAAAAAAATATTTGTATGGTTGTCTACACGTATGTGGGTACCATGTGCCCGCAGTGCCTGACTAATCCAGAAGAGGGCACCAAATCCCTTGGGACTAGAGTTACAGACAGTTGTGAGCCACCATGTAGGTAAAGGGAATTGAACTCAGGTCCACTGGAAGAGAAGCCAGCGCTCTTACACACAGATCTCTCCAGCCCCAGATACATTTTTAAAGGTTTATTTCTTTTGAACTTTTTATTAGGCTGAGAAAAGATGGGATTTGCGTGCCCCTCCTTGTCCCACGATGCTGTACACTCCAGCCAGAGGAGGATACTGTGATCAAGTAACCGACTCTCTAACTGACATTGTTATTAAGATCTTCATAAGATGAACTCACACGCTATCATTCAGATGCATTTAGCCTCTCCCAGACAGCACTTTAATCATGCACACTCTGCAAATGTCACCTAGGGCATGGAACACCTGACACACAAGGAATAGGTAGCAATTAATTATTGTGCTTCCATCCCAATGCAAAGATGTATTGGTAAAAACATTTCAAGGTGCAAATGGTGATTTATGTCTCTAGTATGCAGTTCAGATATTTGTGGAATGCTTTCCATTACTCTTTTTAAAATATTTGTGTGTGTGTTTATAGACTTGTGCATATGAGAGCAGGGGCCTATGATGAGCAGCAGCCGCACCCCCGGGGCTGGAGTTACAGGCAGTCAAAAGCTGCCTGATGTGGTTGCTGAGAACTGAACCCAGGTCCTCTGCAAGAGCAGGAAGAGCTCTTAACTCACTGAGCATCTCTTCCGTCCTCCTTCAGTTACTGGGGAATGCCATTATGTGGTCAGTTTAGTGGTACACAGCAGAAGCCGACCGACCACTGGAGACCAGTGCCCCTTCCTTGTGCTCATTCTGCCAGGCCCGCTTTTATCAGACAGGCTTTGAGGAAGCCCAAGATAACCTGTGCATCCTCTTGAGGGTGACTAGCAGCATGCTTACAGAACCAAGAGAGAAACCACAGCTGCCTTTTTGAGGGTCTCCCAGCCTCCTTCAGAACATCGGCTGAGTTCCCCCTACATGAGTGGGCTCCCCTCTTGGCAACACTCCTCTGACCTCCTAGAGCTTAGTATTTCCTAAGCTTCCTGGTTTCCCTCCATCAGGAGGAAGTAGCTGCCTCCTTAGGCCCTATTGCCATGCTAGGGACAGGTGTTCTGCATCTGGAACTGTTCCCAGGAAGCACAACAGAGGAGCGAGACTGGCCTGATGGTGGACTCCAGTTAGGAGAGGAGAGCAACTGCAGGCCTCTCTAGGGATCTTTGAGGAGCTGAGCAGAACAGGCCCCAGCTATAGTTCACCAGGGACAAGGGATTTGTGACAGCTGTACAGGACTCTGATGATACCCTCCACAGTGTTTAACTTCTGACATGTCCAGAACAGGCCAGAAGGCCATGCGTCTGTCCGTCTGCCAGTACAACGAGGGGTGCAGAAATCACATACAGAAGCCATTGTGTGGAAATGGGCTGTCCACTCAATAAGTCAAGGGGTGTGGGCATTAAAGTGGTCCATCCAACACAAGGACCTCTCACATTGCTTCCTGGAGGCCAAAGGACAATTTGCCTCCACCAAACAAGCTTGTGCAGGATTTCTGCCTACTAGTAGGGCCCCTTCCAGAAAGCAGTTTAAACTTCCAGGCAGCCATGGTAAATGTCCTGGCTCTCTGGTATAAATCCCATGGGAAAGAAGAGCTATGTTGAACTGAGGCGGTCTCCTCCTCCTCCTCCTTCTTCTTCTTCCTCTTTTCTTTTCTTTTCTTTTCTTTTCTTTTCTTTTCTTTTCTTTTCTTTTCTTTTCTTTTCTTTT